TGTGAATACAAAATCTTCCACCAAGGTTTAGTTGGCAGGCTAGCTAAAAGATTTATAAATACTTGTCTCAAACACATGAGAATATGGATCATAAACATTCTAACCATGGAAATTAAAACATTGTACAAGGCTTTGTTTCATTACCAGAAGTGCAATTATCTGAGAGTGACAATTGCTGTTTTGGCTGCATTCCCTGTCTGCTGGAGAAGGAGCTCCCTTGTAGGGATATATGGTGAAACAGGTGGAAAAGAAGACATGAAAATTGTATGTGGATATATCACTGGAGAAGTTGGATGACATGATTCACATTTGTTTCCTGAAGATGTTTAAAAAATTTCAGAAAATATTATGGTAAAGCAGACAGAAGTGTTCTCTGGCTATTCAAATGACTGGTCCAGAAAAGTCTAGCACATAGAGTGTGAAATGCAGGAGTGCACCACCTTAACCAAGTTAAATTCAGTGTTTTGCTGAGTTTCTGAGCCTTTGAAGGAGAGGATGGAAAAATCATTAAAAAACAAAAGCATCCACTGCCTGGCCCTGAACACCTGATAATATTACTTACTGGCTCAGATGCTGAGGGTCATGTTCAGACCACATAAAATACAATTTAAAAATATGAACACAGAAAATTAAATTAATGGAGATAGAATCTCATAAAAAGGAGAAGCAAAAAGTGTGGGATGTGTGACAAAGTTTAAAATATTTGAAGAATACTGTTTTCCTAGTTTAGTGCTAAGAAACAATGGCAAGAAGCATCCAAATCCAGAAAACATTCATATTTCTAAATTTTACTTCATCAGTGAGTTATCTTAAACCCACCCTCACACTTAACATTGCTGCTTTCCTTACCAAATATACACACCCTAGATACTTCGTCTTCCTCTCTGAAATCACACAAATATTGCTTTTGTTTTTCATAGAATCATAGAATCATTTAGGTTAGAAAAGACCTTTAAGATAGAGTATAAGCCTTATCAATATTTGCTATCCACTTTTTTCACAAAACAAAATAATCACCATCATTCAGCAAACCCATGGTAACAATGGGAATACAAATCCTGTGGATTGGGAAGCTACAAATGGCAGAATAGGAGAACTGGATCACATCTTGACTGATGTTCATACTTTATTAAATCACAATTTAACTAAACCACAGCCAGTGTTTAAACTTTGGAGAGGGACATACACCAGTGCAGTTTTCTAGCACATCTGCTATGTATTTCCCATCTTCCTTTTAAAACAAGTGCACACAAATCTGCTAAATGTGACTGCAATACAACCAACATTCTGACTGATGACAAAGGTCAGAGGCATTGGAGAAAATGAGAAGTTTTCTTCAACTTACGATTATGAAGTATACAGATGACTTTCAGGAGACAAGGACACTTCCCCCACTATCTTCTGAATTAATCTGAATATCAAAAAAGTTCCCCAAAGGCCTTTTTTATTGTATGAATGTATAACTCACAAAGAAATGTGAATAATTTGTAGCAGCAAGACATCAGCTGTCTTGTTTGTTACTAAAAGAATTAAATTTACAGCAAGCTGCAGCTACTCTGCTCCAAACGTATTTCATGTGGGTTTGAGAACATTTCAGGGGATTTACCGCTTTAGTACCTGTTTGTCCCTTTTTAATGAGTATAAGATTACAGGGTTTAAAATAGAGATGATAATAATTCAGGAAAGCTATAAGTTCTCTTATAAAGACTTTAATCAGGAGCATAACATTTCTTTTTGAAAAAAAACAGCTTCTCAATTTCTTTCTCCTGGAAGGAACTCACTTCTACTATTTAGCTTGATTTGTTACTGTTTTTTACTAACTCCCTAATCCTCCTAACTAATTTTTGTTTATTTCCACAATCTGTTATTGATAGAAGTTTCAAAATTATGAAAATAATACACATTCTAGCCAGGTGGAAAGAAGATAAACACTTTTCAGATAGATTTATTCAGCCATCAAAAAGAGAAATGCATCACTCTGTGTGAATAATATTAATCTCAGATATATGTTAGGCAATGGCTCTACCTTAGAAATAATACCATGGACTTTATCCTAGATTGCTGCTCAGGATCACAAAGGAGTTTGTACATCTCTCCCTGACACAAATTTCCATGGTTTTGCTATGATTGGTATCTGAACTAGTAAGATTAAAATTTTTCAGGAATGTCTCTGCGTGCTGCAGTACCTACAGTTGAAGTTCTGTCATGCTCTTTCTAACTGCAAGCTAAGATCTTTCTACATAAAGCTACAGAAATGAGGAAGATTGCACTCCACACACACATAATCCACTCCAAGAAAAAAAAAACAAACAACAAAAAACCCCAAACCAAACAAACTGTAGTGAAACTGCAATTAAATAAATATTGGAATAGAAACTAAACAGTGAAATAGCAAAGCTGTTCTCTGAACTGTCTCTCAGAAGAAAATCAAGGAACAGATGACTATTTGAATAAAACTCCTTTCCAAATCCAGTTTCTCCGGTTCATCTCCAAGCATCACCTCAGTCTGAAATCCTACGAAAAATTATGGGCACTAGCCAGCTAGCTGATAGAATGTAGCAGCCATGATGACTTTCAAGTATTTGTCTCTCAGACTATGGCATAAATCTTCTAGGACCTACCTCTGTAATCATCTACAGCGTTGACTTTGACTTGGGAACTATGAAATAAAGCTGGTTTTTGAGGCAAATGCTCTTTACACATCAAACCTTGGTTCATTTCACTTATTTTAAACTTATCAGTCACAGTGATATTTCTGATACCCAAATCATGCTCTTTTTCTGCATCTACACTCTCCTGGTTTCACTATCCTACAGCTGTTCTCTTGTCATGTCTTCCATTCCTGCAGTGCACTGCTGCACTGTCCTTTAGAACTGATAGTTTGCTTCCCTCTTCTGTACTTTTCATCAACTTAAAGTATCTCCCTTTTGAAATACAATGCAAATGTAATACTCATAGATTATATTTTACATTTAAAGGTTTTGAATCAGCACTGTAGCCAGGTAGTAAGAAATAAAGCAACTATAGACCAGGATACCTGCAGAAAACTCAGGAAAAAATATTTATTCACTCACCTAAAAAAAAACCAAAAAAAAAACCAAACAAAAAAACCCTACAAAAACCTAAAACAAAACAGAAAAAAGCAAATAATGAAACATCTGGTCTTCAAAATTAATTTTCACTTAAAAAAATTACATTGGGGTGGATTTTGAACTATGTTGCCACTGCCCCTCATCTCTGAATTTTTATCAAAAAGTGAAAAATGGTAAATAAAAATAAGAACTGTACTCAAATTGTCATCCAAACACTACCTAATTTTAAAAATATTAGCTTTCTAGAGTTGCAGTAGTATTTCTGGGAGTTTTTGAGGGGCTTTTGGGGAACTTGAAAAGCCATTACAAATTGTAATTGGCTTTAACATCACCTTCCTCTTTTCAGTCTGTTCATGTTTTATCTTTTTTTCTTTTTAATAGAATCTTCTGGCTTTTACTGTGACAGTAAATTCACAACAGTGTTTTCAAAAATATTATTTCATTGACTCCTGAGAGGAGCAGGTTAGGTAAAGTATGAACCTCTCTGTTCTTCTATCTCCTAAAGCCAGGATCCTACATTGGTGACTGTAAGCCAGTCTTTTGCCTCAGATACTTCCTAGGTATGTTTACAGCCAGATTAAAAACATCTGCTGGACCAGGCAGATTTATCCACAGTTCAGCTAAAGCTCTTAATCAGATTCAACTTCCTCTTGTCCTGGTTCCTTTAACTCTCTTGAAGCTTCAACAATTCATCTCTTCCAAACCTGAAAACATCTCATTCCCAGACTCAAAACCCTTAGCTCCATTTCTACAGTAAATATAAAAGCTCTCTGCACCTTCAAATGTCTCAGATCCACATAGAAACTTTGTGTCTATTCCATATGTAGCCCCAATCAACATCAGGTGTCAGATTGCTTTCTGTTCTCCTTCCTTATTTTATGTCAGTGATTAGACAATAACGTCCCAGTCTCCTTGCACCTATTGCCTGTGGTTTGAGTCTTTCACTTCAAATGATTTTTTCTATCTGACATTCTAAATCCTACCTAAAAATCCTTTTTTCCTACCACTGCTTCAGTTCCACAGTCACAAATATAAGCTGGCCATGTTCAAGTTTATTAATTTTTATTTAAACTTTCTCATTCCGTTCAACTCTTCTACAGGTATGATCACCTAATTTTACTTCCCCCAGTAAAAGTAGCTTTTCCCAGTGTCAGAGTGGAAGATAGTCTATATTTTATTCCATTGGTAGTGATACCAAACCCTGTACAAAGAAAATGGAAGTTTAACTCTATGTAAGGGAAACAGATATTATTCTCTAGTAAAGAAAAAAAATGTTATTAATGAGTTCTTACAGTTTAATTGGAATTATTGTGACAATTGACATTCTTTCTCAAAATTTTAGTTCTTAAAGGTAGTTGACTATATAAGAACCTTTCTCTTCTAAAATTTTGTTTCACATGGACTTTGACAAGGAACTCAGATAAATCTTGTTTAGACAATGTGCGACTCCCACAGCTCAAAGCCAACAATATCTAACCTTTATGTGCATTAAAAATAGCTTGGAAACATGACCAAAGTGAAGTTGAAAGGCTTAGCAAGCAAAAAAGCAGAATAAAGAAAAAAAGTCAGATTTATTTAAAGGTATTTTTAGTTATGCTGTTAATTTCAGTTGTGTGACTCATACGTTGGGAAACCTTTGAGGTGATAATAATCAAAGACGAGTACCTTCTGATTCAAGAAATCAGACGCAACAAATCCATTCACTAAAAAACCCAAATTGGATGCACACACATCTGCAGTCTACAATAGCAGGATCATACAAATTTTAGATCCTGAAAACAGGGAGGCAAGTCCCAATCCCTGGTCCCACTGCTTTCTTACTTGTTCCCAGGCTACCTCAATGCCTCACAGAGGCTGACCTTCATCAGTGGCCTTGCTCACAGCCCCAGCAGACCCACCAGCACTCACCACCGGCCGGTGCACATCCCAGAATGCTCGCTCCTGGCTGTCAAGAATCTTCCTCTCTATCTTGTCTCTCTTCTTGTCAACCCTGTCAATGTTATAGGATATTTAAAAGAAACAGTGTTGATGACAGCAATTTTAAACGCAAGAAGCATCCCTTCACTTTTCCCTCCCTTCTCCCTTCAAAAAGCATGCAAAATAAAAACCCTTCACCTCCAAAGGAACTTACTTTGCTTGTGCTTCAGCTTGCATAAAAATAAACTCCCATTTCCGAGCAAATGCTCGCTGTAGCCTGGCCAAACTCTCCTGAAAATACACCACAATTTTAGTGGGTTAGGTTGAAAGTTATTTGCTCTTAGCTTCTGATTTATCTTTCTTTCTTCCTCCCCACCAAGATGTAATACAAGTCATGATATTTGTCTCAGTGTAAATGTACTTTACTTATCTGATACAAAGTTTTTGCTTGACACCAAATGACACGGAATACTTTTGAATGCCTTGACTTTTTCAGTTTTGAAACTCTGATAAAAAGGGTGGATGCAACTTCCAGCAAAACATGGGATTTCTGAAGCATTTTTATAGAATGGGTGCTGGTTGAGCAATCTTGAAATAATGCAAAGAAATATTCTTGTTTTGAAAGTACCTAATACTGAAAGATAACAGCAGTAATTTCCATACTGGATGATCCTCATAACAATTGCCATCAGTCATCTATACAAGTGGTTTCCCTTGAACAATTTTGGCTGCCATTTTTGGTAGTATAGGAATCTTCCAAACCTCCACAGCGATCCTCATTTAAAACAATGCAGACTACAGTTCTTCACTACCGTAATCTTAAGAAAATTCTTTCCTCCATTGATGTTGGAACATTTTCACTGTCTGTAACAGAGCTTTCCCAATCTCTCCCCAGCTGAAACGGCAGCAGTATTCAGTCTGTAACATGGAGGCTGAGATTCTTCTCTTCCACCAAAAAGACCCCAGTTACCCTAATGCACTGCTTTTACTGAGACTAAATTAAAATTGACTGTAAACTTCCCAACAGAAAAATGTGTTGTTTTTACAGTAGTTCTGTGCATTGCAAATGTATCTCTATGCCATACTTACTGAAAAATAAAATAGCAGAGAGCGAAGAGGAGACTTTCTTGATATTGTCAATAACACTAAAGTCTCTCACGGATTATATACTGAAGGGGAATTTTCTAAGGCATGTGAGCATAAAATTATGCATACCCTACAGTGCAGTACACCGAAGAACAAGTTCGTGCCAGAAGAAGCAATTAAGAGCATCAGCATGGTGCTGCGGTTGGAGTATGTGGTATGTTGAGAGGCCTGGCTGACCATCCTGCTATTGGGTCACAGCAGCACAGCTGGACAGCTTTCAGTGCAGAGCCAGGGATGTTTGTGAATTTTATGTAGACATTCTCATAAAAAAATTCAGGAACTTTTGGGGGGATAGAGATGGAATTCAAGACATCTCTCTCCTTATCAAATGCCATCCTCATCAGCTAATCAAACTCCCTCTTTTTTAGGCTCTTCCTGGTCCCAATTATCTTACTTTGCCTGAGGCACAGCACAACTGTCAGTGAGTGGGAAGTGCCTCTAGTCTGACCCTCTTTGTCTCTCATCTAGCTGATGGGAAAAGGCTCAAGTGCCAGCATCACTTTATAGAATGAGATTTATATTTCTACATCTATCAAGTGCTTTTGGAAATGTTGTCAGAGATCCTTCATTCAAACTTAAACGGTGTAGAGAACAATTGCTTTCAAACACTCACGGTGTATCTGGGATTTGTGAACAGTTATTTGTGATCCTGGCATGGTGATCTGACCAGAGTAATATTAGAGATGAACTGAAATCTAAGCTTTTGCGCACTTAGCCTTTACTACAGTCTCTCAAACACCATTTATAACTACCAAGCACATGCCGGAAAATGTGGATAACTAATAAATTTTCACACTTAGTGCCTGTAGTTATCATGCTTAACATTATTTCACAGGCTCATTAGGCCCAGCAGAGAAATCTACTTTTTGCCAAATACTTACAGCTTCATAGTCTGCTAGCTCTAGCCTTGCTTTGTTTTGCATTGTCCGCTTGCAGAGGTAAACAGCTGGAACAGAATAAAATAACACAGAATTTGCTACTATCTCACAAACACAGCAGATCAGAAATCTAAAGGCTTCATCTCTGTTTTACTGCTAGATTTTTTTTGTTTTGATTTCTCGCTCTACTCGAAAAAGCTTTAAATATGGGATCAATGCTACCAGTATTATAACTGAAATGATGGATCAGATACAAAGGTTCATTAAATAATAATAAAAACTCCTTTATGCAACAGACATCATATGCAAAATGCATGAGATACTCGAGGTCAGGTTTTTTTAATGGCCAGGGAACTAGCACATAAAAGAAAAATAGCAAAAACATTTTACAAACTGTGTATGTATAAATCATAATGCATAAGAGTTTTAGCAGGAGCTGCTGCTGTATTAGTCAAACAGGTTTTTAAGAACATGAATACATGGTTTTATTTATTTTTATTCTATATTTAGTAATAGCAAACTTTCAACCTAAGAAGATTTTAGCTAAAAAATAATTCCAGAAAAAATTCACGTCTTATACAGATTAGTCTGCTATAACCAATATTTAAAATAGAAAATAATGAGACCGAAAAGTGAAAAAAAGCATATCATCTGTTAGATATGAGAAAAAAAATTCTTTCATTTATTTTCTAAATCCAAAAATCCTTCACCAGACCTGTTCTGTCTCCACTTGATTCAGACAGAGCAGACTCTTTGCTAATAAAATGTTGAAGTACATTTCCAATAGACTTTATTTAGCAACAAATACTTCACAACAATTCTGAATATTTTACAGCTTCACCAACCAGTAAGACAGTGAGTGCTGCACAACTCCTTATTGTGCAACATTTATCCACTACATTACTTCAGAGCACCTTCTCATGTGTGAGATGGAGGAATCTTTTATTCAGTGTAGCTAAGAAAACCTTAACATATCTGTTGTCTCTACACTCAGCAAAAAGAGCCCATATTTGCTGGTTGTGGTTAGGAACGTTCCTACTTCTGACTGCCAGCTTGTCCACTACAGGAACAAAGAGAAATAACTTCACGTAAGAACCTAACTCGCAATCACTAGGAAGAAGGAAGTGCTTATTTTAGATATAGCTTTGATTATTAAGATAGTCAAACCAATTATAATTTACAATTCCACAGAAATATTTATTTCTGACAAGTCACTTGCAAATGCACCTGCAAACCCACTGAATGTCCTTTTAGCTGAATTGATTACAAGCACTTCTAAGAGCTTACAGATGTTACTTGATGTAAAACAAAGTTATATTTTAATGCAATTTTTGTCTTTTTTTTTCCCCCTCCTCTTTTTTGTGTGTGTTATCTGGTCTATTTTCTTTCATAATATTTCACTTTCCACTCTCGTAAGAAGCCATTCCTTGCACTCCCGTATGCCCTCTGGTTCCAAAGCAGTTTCTGTGTCTGCAAAATCTACAGACAGATACACATCCATGTCACACACCAAGTATAGTAGACAGATAGTTTCTATAACCTCAGTTTCCATGCATTTTAATATTAGTATACACTTACATTAATGCATTAGCATGCATGCTGAAATGTCATAAAAAGATGAGGGGATGAATTTTGGACCTTTTGTATCTAGGTGGCATTCACAATCAGTACATTGGTGAGAGACTCTTAAGGAGAGGGATGTTCTTTGTCATTTAGCTGCTTTTACAGTGAAGCATTTTCCCCTCTTCCTTCAAAATTGGTTATTTCATTGAACAAGAAAAAAAAACCCTAAACACATTGAAAATATTAGCAATAAAATACATACTTAATATAAATGTGTAGGCAATTCTGAGAAATCCAGGGGTCAAATTTTGTCTTGTCCAACCAGTCTAATACCACCTGAGCAGAAATAAAACAAGCTCCCTGCTCCTACACTTGATTAAGCCCCTGTAAACCACATTGTCACAGTCCCAGTACAGGTACTTTTAGTTAGCTTAGCGCTTTCTTGAGTCCCACTGCAGGCAAATTTTGGGATTAGCATTTCCTGCTACCATCCACAAAAATTGTTGCTGCAAAGTGGCTGACAGAAAAGCATCTTCAGACAACATATTTCAACTTTGGCGAAACAACAACTAGGTCACCACGAGCAGGAGAAATGAGTTAGCTTGCCACACTATTAATTTGATATGGTGTCTAAGATATCTCTTCCCTTCACTGTGTAACTCTACCACAGTATTTTCTCTGCTGTCAATCTGTAGCAAATCTGTCTTCGCTCTCAATCCATAGCAAATAGTCCATATCAGAATGTTTGGTTTTCATTATGTGCGTAACTTAGCCAAGATTCAAAAAATCATGTTCATCCCTCAGACCTTTTATTTATCTGAAATATTCAAAACCCCTCTCCTTCAGGAGCCTAAAGGTTATAACACCTGTGCCTTGGATTCTTTATCTCAGAAATGTTTCTATGTGCCACCATGGATAAGGCAGAATATAGCCAAGGAAGATTTTGTGTTGTGGGAAGTATGACATATCCACTAGCGTGGAGGAAAATAGTGCTGAAGGACATTCCTACTCTGCCTCAATTTATTGCCATTGCTATGTGCTAACAATTACATCCTTGTAAAAGTGCATGTTTAAGGATTTATGTAGGAGCTAATTTTAGTGACATGAAAGGCTGGCAGCATCTCAGGAATTTGAGTTCACCAGTTTACACTCTCATTGTCATATTCTTTGGCTTATCTGTAAAAAATTCACTAGCATGTTGGAAAGCAAAAAAAATGTGAAAATCATCTTCATTTTCAGCCAGACCATTTGAAGATACAGAGTAATGAGGTTTTGTTCTTCTACTTTTAGGGCAATGAGATTTGAAATATGGATTCTCCCATCTTTCACAGGTACCACCCCTTTTCTGCACCAAATCATGCGTGAAGTAACTGTGCTTGTCCAGCAGCCTGACTTTGAGGATGTCAGTCAGTTTCTCTCTCAAAGCAGAGTCAGGAGTCCCCAGAAATTCAGCGAATGACATTGTCTGCTTTTCTAATGCCATGTGTTGACAGTGGTTTTACAGCTTCATACAGAAGTACAATATGCAGGAAGGGTCTCCAACTCAAAGTTCCTTTTTTTCTGTATATAGTTCTCTATTTATCTACCCCCCGAAGGTCCTGGTCAGGGACCAGTACACCAATGAGCTGTAATTGCCCCAAGCAGCCCATCCAGGGACTCCACTGGGGTGTCTTGTGCCCAGGAACTGTGCATAAGCCCAGCTACCTCCCCTGGCACAGGCTCGAACTATATCTCTAACCAGACCTGTAACTTACCAGCCCTGTAACTTGCCCTAGCTTCCCAGCCTGACCTTGGACCTTTCTGGTCAGTTAAGACTTTATTGGTAAGGACCTTGCACTTGCCTACACCTTTGTCAACCTCAGTTCTTGCTTACCTTCCCTTGCAGAGCTTCCTACTCTTTTTGCTCCCTGACAAGGGTGCTGGAAAATGCTTACCATGGGGACGAATGATATGCAGGGAACGAGGTCTGAATTAATAACCTCAATTTGCTAAATATGGACTACCATATACACTCTTACTTTTAGAGCCAGTGTATTCTGGTGGATTTTGCAATCAACATAATTGCCTCTACTGAAGTGAATTATATACTAGATGCTATAGCTTGTGCTTTAGAAGTGACTGATTACCAAGAGAAAACAGATTTGCCAATAATTTTAAAGGTCATATTAATATGTAATATTTCATAATGGACGATGGTCAGTGATGTTTATAAATGGGTATTTGAACAACAAACCAGTACTAAAACACACTTCGGTAGCTGTGCAGTAAATACAGACTACTCGATCTTGAAAATTCTGCTCAGGCATTCACAAAATGTGGGCAACATGAGAGTTTCAAGTGAGACTACAAAGCGTTCTAGTGAGAGTTGCCTGTGTTTTCCCTCCTGCAAGTTTTTAACAGTTAAACCCCCAAACCAACCAATTTTCATGGTTAGCCACCTTTGTTTTCTATTCTTGACTGTTCACTTGCACTTGAAAGCTCTTAAGAATTATAGAATCACAGAATCAACTGGGTTGGAAAAGACCTCTGAGATCATCAAATCCAACCCTTGATCCAACACTGCCATGGTTACTACACCATGGCACTAAGTGCCACATCCAGTCTCATCTTAAAAACCTCCAGGGACAGTGAATCCACCACTTCCCTGGGCAGCCCATTCCAATGTCTGATTACTCTCTCTGTAAAAAAATTTTTCCTAATAGTCAACCTAAACCTCCCCTGGCAGAGCTTGAGACCATGTCCTCTTGTCCTACTGCTGGTTGCCTGGGAGAAGAGACCAACCCCCACCTGGCTACAACCTCCTTTCAGGGAGTTGTAGAGAGTGATGAGGTCTCCCTGAGCCTCCTCTTCTCCAGACTAAACGAGCCCAGCTCCCTCAGCCTCTCCTCACAGGACTTGTGTTCGAGTCCCTTCACCAGCCCTGTTGTTCTTCTCTGGAGCTGCTCCAGCACCTCAACATCATTCCTGAACTGAGGGGCCCAGAACTGAGGGCCGGGCCCAGAGAGTGCTGGTGAACGGAGCTGCATCCAGTTGGCAGCCGGTCACCAGTGGTGTTCCCCAGGGGTCAGTGCTGGGCCCAGTCCTTTTTAACATCTTTATCAATGATTTAGATGAGGGGATTGAGTCCATCATCAGCAAATTTGCAGATGACACCAAGTTGGGAGGGAGTGTCGACCTGCCGGAAGGCAAGAGGGCTCTGCAGAGGGATCTGGATAGACTGGAGAGATGGGCTGACTCCAATGGAATGAAGTTCAACAAGGCCAAGTGCCGGGTCCTGCACTTTGGCCACAACAACCCCCTGCAGTGCTACAGGCTGGGAACAGAGTGGCTGGAGAGCAGCCAGGCAGAAAGGGACTTGGGGGTGCTGATCGACAGGAGGCTGAACATGAGCCAGCAGTGTGCCCAGGTGGCCAAGAAGGCCAATGGCATCCTGGCCTGCATCAGGAACAGTGTGGCCAGCAGGAGCAGGGAAGTGATCCTTCCCCTGTACTCTGCATTGGTGAGG